AAGCAGAGTGTGGCGGCGCGGCAGCGGACCGGCCACTATAGCTCGGTAGAGGCTAAAAGGAGGGCACAGGAGTAACCAGGATCTCAACATAAAGCTGTTGCGCCTGCAGGTTGCGACGGAGACGGGACGGAGGTGCACGGCCGTCGGTGATGGCGGATACGGCGGCGTGAACTGGCGGTCGGGACGGCGTTTCGGTACGTCCTGCACGGTAGAGTCAAAACTAAAGAGCCTATCACGGCCAAGAAATCAAGGTGGACTGAAGACGGAAGACGAGAGGGCGTAAGGTGCTCTGGATAAGCCTGACCACGGCGAGGTGACCACGGCGGCGGTGGCGAACTGTCACGGCGGGAAACGACGGTGCGGCCAACTCCGGCGACGATAGGCGTGGAGAACGGTTTAAAACGAAGCGCAAGGAGTTGGAGAAGCTAGCTGTGAGAGAAATTGAGTCGTAGGCGAGCGGTGGCGGAGAATTTGGACGGCGAAGCGAAGCTCGACGGCGGCGACGGAAAGGGAAGAAAGAGGAGACGGTGGCCGGCGCTGGCGTTTTATAGGTGAGGGCGACGTCGTGACTTTACCAGCACCTTCGTGAGCTCGGCCACGCCGGCGTCCGCGCGGGAAACACCGCGAAGGCACGGACAGACGGCGGGCGGTGACCGGCCAGCGAAGCAGGCAGGCTGACAGCCCCGGTATCACTGTAGCAGTCTGATAGCACGTTTTCTCCCTCCAATTTCTCAAATTTCCAAATGTAAACTTGACTAGATCCAAAAACAAAAGTTGTGCATCTACATGAAGTATCCAACTTTACTTTAAGAAGCTACCCAAAAATCTTGATAGTTAGAAAGATTTTGAATTTCAAAGTGAGGTACTTTGAAACTTGAAAACAGGATTTCAGTTAAGTGTTTGAAATTTTGTTTTCGTTAGCAAATTTGGGATTTTATTAATGAACAACCATTTAACATTCACTTCAACCAAATACACATTATGAGAGGTCAAGTATCACACCAATCAATGAAACAAAGTATGCATCACTTTTATTTACAAAAATTGATTTTATAATTACCCAAACTTTGAACTTTAAAATTGATATTCAAAGACGAGCTCAAAGACTAAGTTAGAAAGCCAATTTTTAAATCCAACATTTGAGCTCAAATGTAAATATGTTTAACTCGAAAACATCATCACATGTTGAGTCTATAAGAAAGTACTCACTTTGTACTACAAATTTTATTTTGGAAAAAATTTAATTGTTTAAGGAAATTTCTAACCATAAAATAAAAAAGTTCCTTAATTGGTATTATTGACAACATCTCATGTAGCATATAAAACACCACATTAGCAACATGTACATACTATATATGAAATATGAAATGCTTTTAAGTCATAATACTTGATACTTGTGCATGATGATGATGATTAGGGTTTTATTAGATGCTTAACACCGAGGGTGTTACAAAACTTCTGACATATATACTAAAAAAGACCATATTCAAATCTGGCCTTTTGGATTCCGATCCGAACTATTCCAGACTTGTGGGAAACTTGGAAAATACATTTTGAAAAGGTTTTCTACTCGGATAAGATGACCCTTATATACATATTGGAGGATTATGGCCGGTTGAGGGATCCAACACACAATCGACAAAATCAATCAATGTAACTACCTCTCTTTTACCCTCTCTTTCCCATCTAGTTCTTCCCCTCGTTCTTTGTCACTACTACAAGGCCGGTGGATCGACAACAATGAAGCCCTAGGGCGGTCAGGCCGGCTAGGGCAGTCTATATATAGCCGCCGCATGCTCCGACATGGTCCTGGTCCTCTTGGTTGTGGGTTTTCGGGTTTCAAGAGACCTGATCGGTGTGTCTTGCATATCGTGCTCCCAACGAGCCTCTTTGGCAACATGTCTTGTGTATTGTGCTCATCGTTGAAGGCACTAGGTTCATGTGCGAACAAACCCTAGCCGCTAGCCAACCTAAAAGTCGACTAGGCCCTAATCCAGCGATCTAACTCCTTACAGGTATGGTGACCTAATTAAGTGTCAACAGTATTATATTTTGTCATAGACTCAATTATTGTCTTGCGTTCATAGAGTCCCTGATGATAATATTGCCCTGGAACTGCTTTTGGAGGAGCTTTTCATAAAAAAGATAGGAAGTGGATAAATGCAAAATTTCTTGAAAGGTTCCCCACTAAACGCTTCTCAAAACTGAACCACGAGGGTCCATTATTCCTAGGAAGCGGCACGGGTGGAGCTTCTTGTCGCTTTTCTGGCCCATGCCTACATCTCCACAACTCTGCACAGTGGCGAATCTAGAATTTTGGGTCAGGGTATGCTTCTCAAAAAATTTCATACGCAATTCAGAAAATCCACTTTCCAATTCGGTAATAAGGTTGTAATAAGGTTTAAAATCATGGATTAATTAGAAATCATATCCACTAAATACAATATAAATAGTTTCAAAAGCCAAACTGATAATTCAAATATATTCATATAGAGCACTAGAGACTTACAATGTTATCTTGCTGATGAGTTTATTCGACGCGTTCGAAGGGACATAAATGTCTCAATTATGTCATCTTCATCAACTTCAAAGAAAATATCTCGCTCAATGAAAGTGACGAGACAATCATCCAGAAGACTATCTCCCATCTTGTTTCGGGTTTTTTTTTTCACTAAAACCAATGCGAAAATACCCTTTCAACACTTGTTTTTGCCACGGTGAAAGCAAACACCAATTTGAGAAGCTCATAAACCATATCATACACTTTATGTCTCTTCGTTTGAACAAGCTTAACTGAGAGATCAACAATATTTTCTAGACCTTTGAATCTATCATCCTGCTTGATGTCATCAATATAATTATCTAGCTGCAATTCAAGTCTGCAAGCAAATTATTTTTTGAGAAGTCCTTTGGGTAGAACTCAGCTAGTCTGCGTAGCTTCTGCGCATCAAAAGACTCAAACGATTTAGAAGGATTGAATGCCACCATACAAGACAACAACTCCATATTGATCTCATCAAACCGATTATCAAGTTCTTGACTTATTTGATCAATGACACCAATATATACTTCTCTTACGAAGTGATCATCATTGGTTTGCTTTTCGAGCACGAGCTTTCCTTGTTGATTTTCCATAAGGAACATAAACACCATCCATAGCAGAACATCAACACCATGTTTATCACAAAATGAGGTGACCTTCTCAAGAAAAGTATTCCAACCATCAGACCTCAATTGTTGCATTCTTTTCTTTGCCACATTAACAAGTGATATTGCATTGAGAATATCTTGCTCCCTTCTTTGTAGACACTCAGATAACTCATTCGTGTATCCAAGAATAATATACATTAAATGTACAAAGAAAACAAACTCAAAGGTCTCAAATGCTCCCGTCACAAAATGTATTTTGGTCCAATCATCCTTATATGTAGGATCATCCCCAAGATCAACCAGTACATCATGGATTGATTCATACATAGTAAGGATGCTGCATATAGTTTTGTAATGAGATCCCCATCGAGTATCTCCAGGCCTAGACAAACCCATTTCTTGATGTAATCCAGTTCCAGATTCAATTTCACCACAGTCAAGTGCTTTCTTGATATTCTCAAGCCTAGCTTTTCTAAGCATGTCATGACGCTTACAAGAAACCCCAATAATATTCAATAAGATAGATACTTGATCAAAAAAGGAGCTGCAATCTGTATTTCCCTTAGCAACAGCCACAAGAACCAATTGGAGTTGATGAGCAAAACAATGAATATAATAAGCAGAAGGTGAATCTTGCATGATCAATGTTTTCAGCCCTTTAATATCTCCTTTCATATTGCTAGCCCCATCATATCCTTGACCACGGATTTGAGTCAAACTCAAGCCAGGGTATGCTGTAGCATATACAGCATACCCTGTAGCTCCGCCCCTGTCTCTGCATCACCATTTCTGAGCTCCACCAGTGCTGAGTGCAACTGGTGCCAAGGTCACTCTCTCCGTTCATGCTGAGCGCCACCCGCCTGGCTGCCGCCCATTGGCGTGCATGACCTGACTCCCCACCGACAAGCACCGCCAAGCTACTGGTCAGCGCTGCGCCCTCCCAGTAGACTCGCCACCAGAGTGAGCTGCCCGTTCGAACACCTACACGCTACTGCCTCCCATGGGACTGCCGCCTTCACCTACACGCAGCCGCCTTTGCCTGAGTATGAGGTCCCCTCGATCGTGATTCTTCTCCAGTATTCCTCTTAAAATGAAACATGTGTCACTATGACATGTTGTCGAAAAAGTGATTCTTCTCCAGTAAGATCCTCTCTGCTCATCCAAGATCTGGCCGCTGGACCCTTCTTCAGTGAGCGTACCTCCAACCGACGGTCCTATCTACCAAATATGTAGCTTTTTATATCCAGGCTTCTAAAAACAAAAGCTTTTGTGAGCAGATAGCCAATAGCTACTAGCTTATCAAATAATTCTAGCCGTTCCAAACAGGGCCAATATTATCGACAAGGTTCTAAATCTATGACTATAGCTACCGCTATAGCCGAAAATAGATGATGGACAGCATCGCCACTAGGAGAATTGAGTTTTAAGCGCTAATAACTGTATTTAGCCAGCTATATCGTTGAAATGCACGAGTACTCAAGGAAAAGGAATTGAAACTGGCATTTGTCATTGTTAAAATAATGGCCGGACTATTACTAAGAGCTCAACTAAAGAACATTACCAATGAAGTTTAGCCGGTAAAAAGTACGAAGCAATGTACAGCCTGTTTGCTTGCTCGTAAACGATCGTAAATTTCCAGCTGGGAACAGTGTTTTTCTCTCACATCAAACCAGCCAGTAGTAAATAATCCACGATACGATACGGCCTCCCGAACAGGCTGGTAGTATTCTGTGTTACTGGGGACCACAGACAGCAGCGCCTTGCTTCTCGTGTTGATCTCGACCATCCATACAGTCTCATCTGCGTCATCGATGACGTAGTGGTTCTCGCAGACCATGAAGCAGACGTTGTCAGGATTGTCGGAGCTCACGATGGGGTACTGTGGGGGCAACACGCGGCAGGTGACCGTAGTTGGGGAGCTGCCAGAGCTCATCGCAGTCGAGCACACCGTCCTTGACCCACACCATTGCCTCCTCCGTCCTCAGGGTCAGGGTCCACGTCGTCACGTTGAAGGCGAAGGTGGAGCGTTCGCACGAGGTCTTGCCTGGGCCGCTGCGGGGAGCAACGCTGACGAGCCTCACGGCACCAGGGCCGGCGGCGGCCAAGTTGCGACAATACAGCATGTCCGGCCGATCGCTGCTGTGGTAGCGCGTTCTGGGGGGCGGCACAGGCAGCGGTATACATATCGGAGTTTGGGGTTCTCTTCCGACATGTCGCAGAGGATGAAGCCGCTGAGGTAGTCGACCCAACACATGAAGCCAGGGGCGGAGCTACAGGGTATGCTGCAGCATACCCTGGCTTGAGTTTGACTCAAATCCGTGGTCAAGGATATGATGGGGCTAGCAATATGAAAGGAGATATTAAAGGGCTGAAAACATTGATCATGCAAGATTCACCTTCTGCTTATTATATTCATTGTTTTGCTCATCAACTCCAATTGGTTCTTGTGGCTGTTGCTAAGGGAAATACAGATTGCAGCTCCTTTTTTGATCAAGTATCTATCTTATTGAATATTATTGGGGTTTCTTGTAAGCGTCATGACATGCTTAGAAAAGCTAGGCTTGAGAATATCAAGAAAGCACTTGACTGTGGTGAAATTGAATCTGAACTGGATTACATCAAGAAATGGGTTTGTCTAGGCCTGGAGATACTCGATGCGGGATCTCATTACAAAACTATATGCAGCATCCTTACTATGTATGAATCAATCCATGATGTACTTGGTTGATCTTGGGGATGATCCTACATATAAGGATGATTGGACCAAAATACATTTTGTGACGGGAGCATTTGAGACCTTTGAGTTTGTTTTCTTTGTACATTTAATGTATATTATTCTTGGATACACGAATGAGTTATCTGAGTGTCTCACAAAGAAGGGAGCAAGATATTCTCAATGCAATATCACTTGTTAATGTGGCAAAGAAAAGAATGCAACAATTGAGGTCCGATGGTTGGAATACTTTTCTTGAGAAGGTCACCTCATTTTGTGATAAACATGGTGTTGATGTTCTGCTATGGATGGTGTTTATGTTCCTTATGGAAAATCAACAAGGAAAGCTCGTGCTCAAAAGCAAACCAATGATGATCACTTCAGAAGAGAAGTATATATTGGTGTCATTGATCAAATAAGTCAAGAACTTGATAATCGGTTTGATGAGATCAATATGGAGTTGTTGTCTTGTATGGTGGCATTCAATCCTTCTAAATCGTTTGAGTCTTTTGATGCTTGTGAAGCTACGCAGACTAGCTGAGTTCTACCCAAAGGACTTCTCAAAAAATAATTTGCGCAGGCTTGAATTGCAGCTAGATAATTATATTGATGACATCAAGCAGGATGATAGATTCAAAGGTCTAGAAAATATTGTTGATCTCTCAGTTAAGCTTGTTCAAACGAAGAGACATAAAGTGTATGATATGGTTTATGAGCTTCTCAAATTGGTGCTGCTTCTACCTGTGGCAACAGCAAGTGTTGAAAGGGTATTTTCTACATTGGTTTTAGTGAAAACAAAAACCCGAAACAAGATGGGAGATAGTCTTCTGGATGATTGTCTCGTCACTTTCATTGAGCGAGATATTTTCTTTGAAGTTGATGAAGATGACATAATTGAGACATTTATGTCCCTTCGAACGCGTCGAATAAACTCATCAGCAAGATAACATTGTAAGTCTCTAGTGCTCTATATGAATATATTTGAATTATCAGTTTGGCTTTTGAAACTATTTATATTGTATTTAGTGGATATGATTTCTAATTAATCCATGATTTTAAACCTTATTACAACCTTATTACCGAATTGGAAAGTGGATTTTCTGAATTGCGTATGAAATTTTTTGAGAAGCATACCCTGACCCAAAATTCTAGATTCGCCACTGCATGAAGCGGCTGCCGACGGGCACCGCGGCGTCGATCACCGTCGGGTGCCGCAGCTCGCCTTCTCCCTCGTGGTGCACGATGGGCAGCCGCTTGAGCACCCAGTCGTGGCCGGGGCGGAGCACGCAGAGCTCGGCCGTGCAGTACAGCGCATCGTACCCCACCTCGAGCTGGGCCACCAGGACCTCGCCATCGCCGAGGCGGAGTATGCAGGTGTCGTTGAATAAGGACAGGTTGCGGGCCTCGGCACTGCGAGTAGGAACCTGGCGGGCGTCTTTGTCTCGGTCAAACTGGTTGGAAACATAGCAGCCGGGGAGCAGGGACAGCGACGAGCAGCCTCGTACAGGAAATACTCGAACATAACACATGAGCCGAAACCAAGTTTGGGTACCCTCGACTCGATGAGGACGGAGTCATCGTGGGCCGCGACGATCTGGAGTTGGAGATCCATGGTGTCCTTGTCGTTGTCGCTGGACGGTGTGCTGCCTATGCCGGCTAGCAAGTCGTAGAGGAAGCTGGAGCGTTCCGGCGGTGCCGCGATGCTAAAGGAGACGCAGAAGGGTAGGCCAGAGGAAGTGCAGGAGGCCGCCGTGGTCTTGGCATCGGCGGCGGAGGAGCGGCTGTCCTTGAGGATGGTGCGGTTCAGTAGCACCCAGCGGGGCGCGGCTGCCGTCGGATCAGAGGGTCCTCTATCGGTTAGGGTTTCCATGTTGCCGCCGGAGCCTTGTATGAAACCGATCGATGGATGGATCACGAGGAGAATATGATGGATTCCGTTTCAGCACCTCCATTTATATAGGCCGATTTGTTGTCGCTCTTAGAGCATCTGTGGCGACCCCGTATCCCATAAAACTGCCATATCGAGGGAGACAAGATTATTCCTCAACGAGACCTTTTTTTTGTCGCCACAAAAAAAAAAACTCCTCTAGTGGAGTTGCAAGAAATTACCCACCATGCCATCCGTTACACAGTCTAGCGTACCGTTTCGCTTCGTTCATTTTCTTTCTCGTAACCCATCGCTATCACCGCTCGGCTCCGGCTCCTCCATCTGCCATGCCTGGCTGACATCGCGTCTAGCCCGCTGTGGCCCAGCTCCACCGTTGGTACTGGCTGCCGGTGCCGTGCGCGTCCTGTCCCTGGCACCGCCCGCCCGCTTGGCATCACTCTTCCCCGGTGCCGGCTGCAGCGCCAAGCCTCGCCCCCACCCGTCCCGGTGCTGGCCCCCAGCGCCCCTCGTTCGGTTCTTTCCCGGCCACCGGTGGCTCGGTGGAGAAGAAGATGCATTGTTTTTTTTAATTTTGAACCCTGGTTATTTTTAATAACTACATGTGAATCCAGATCGGAGCTGGAGGTGTACCAAACAGTTTTTTCGGAGCCAGATCTGTGGTAGAGCTGCTTGATGATGGAGTACGTTGGTGCTCTGGAGTTGGTTTTGCGGAGCTAGCGCTGTGCCAAATAGGCTCTATAACAACAGGGTTATTGTATCGGATTTGAATTAGGTTTTATTGACATGTGGAGGCCGGATAGGCCTGAGGTGACTTTGTTGAAGCAACAGAAGAAGAAATTTTCACTCTTCAATATCAGCTTATTGGAGTCGTTGTCAATCAAACATTAATTTTGCATGTGCCCATAGTTTATTCTACTTTAAAGTTTTATTTGTTTTCAATAATTATTCATACTATCAAATGTTAAAATTGTCCTAAAGTGTTCTTTTAACTTTTAATCAAATACTGTCTCTCCCTGTGTACCATGGGCACCCGCTTGAGCACTAAGATTAATTCTAGTTGATTCTCTACTCAAGCCCCTATCATATATACTCTCCGTCCGTCCTGAAGTGATTAACAAATTTTCACCAGAAAAAAGTCAAACAAATTAGATTTTGATTGTCAAATTCTCTTACTCTATGTTATCATTTGTTAAAAGAATCAATATCATCTTAGAGGTACTTTAAATACAAATGTATCAATATAGTTTGTAAAATTTGGCTTTCCCTCGATAAAATATTATTATCATTGTGGACCACGCTATACACACAAACACACATTATTCAACGCACCGATGTTGGGAGCCTGTCCAACATTTAGATAATGATTCTCTATTAAAACAATTGGTGACAATATATCACCATCAGTTCTCATTGAAACATTATGTATGACTTCACCTTTCTGGAACCCTCGCTCATGGCCTTCAACGGCCCTGAGTACGTTGTGAGTTCGGGTCCTCTCACTGAGAGGGCGCAAGAGGGGCTCTCATGTCTACTAAGATCAGTCGGTCCAATGCATTTATCCAGAGGTGTCCTCGTGGGTATCCACGCTGCATGGATATCGCATCTTGTTTTTGCGGATGATTGTATTGTTTTTTCAAAAGCGTCGCAAAGCGGGGCCGCCAGAATTCAGGAGATTTTGGACATCTACAGCAGGGGGTCTGGCCAGTTGGTTAATAGAGATAAGGCGGCAGTTTTCTTCAGTAAGAATTGCCTGGAAGATACAAAACAGCTGGTCCGACATGAGCTGCATATTGAAACGGAGGCGCTGTCCGATATGTATTTGGGTCTCCCAACAGCAATGGGGCAGTCGACCACTAATACCTTTGAGTTCCTACCTGCAAGACTCAAAGGGCTTATTGGCTCCTGGAGCGGTCGTGAAGCGAGCAGTGCAGGTAGGGAGGTACTACTGAAATCTGTTGCACAGGCAGTGCCCACCTATTTGATGAGCTGCTTTCTCCTGTCAAAGACAACGTGCAAGAAAATGAGAGCAGCAATGACTAACTACTGGTGGGGGGGATCGGCTGAAAACCGGCACATCCACTGGCTCCGTTGGGATCGTCTCATGCAACACAAATCGAAAGGCGGAATGGGCTTTCGGGATTTGCATCTATTCAACAAAGCAATGCTAGGAAAACAAGGTTGGCGGCTTATTACTCGGGAAGACAGCTTTTGTGCCCGTGTGTTGAAAGGCCGCTATTTCCATGACTCGGATTTCCTAGCTAGCACACGGAGAAAGCATGCCAGCCATACCTGGCGAGCGATCTTGGCCAGTAAAGAAGTGCTTTTGAGGGGCATGATCAAAAGGATTGGCAATGGTACATCTACACATATTTGGCATGATAGATGGATTCCAAAGCATTTTGATGCGCGACCACTCACACCTGAGGATGGTCAGGATGTCACCAGGGTGTCAGACCTGCTAACCGAGTCAGGACAGTGGAACGAAGAGCTGATTAGGGAGATTTTTATCCCGGTTGATGCTGACGCCATTCTCCGAATGCTGCTGAGAATGCAGGAGGAGGATTGGTGGGCATGGGAATTAGAGAAGCATGGAGAGTATTCAGTAAGATCAGCGTATCGAAAATTGGAGGCAATGCATACTCCAGAGGACACAGCCACCCCGGGGGGCTCAGGTGATGCTTCTTGGGGGAAGATTTGGCGTCTTGATGTTCCACCTAAGGTCAAAGTATTTTGGTGGAGAGTTCTACACGAATTTTTGCCGGCAAAAGCAGTGCTACACCATCGACACATTGAACCCACAGCTTTTTGTGAGGTGTGTGGAGCAGAGAAGGAGTCGATCCGACATGTCTTCCTTGAGTGCACCACGGCGATGTTGTTCTGGCACGAGATCAAGCTGCTAACTGGTCTGAAAATCCCTAAGCTGCATCCGCATTCCTGGGCTTCAGACATTCTACTGAATGAGGTTTGTTCAGAGAGGGAGCGCAGCCTTTTCATCATCGGGATGTACTCTCTATGGATGCAAAGAAACAATCGTCGCCATGGGGAGAACCAACTACCGGTGCATCATGTAGTACAATGGGCGGTTGATCTAGCACATGATCTGTGGCAGATTTGCCCAGTCTAAGAAGCAGCTGCGCCCGGTTAGTATACATTCGGCTTGGCAACCACCTCCAGAGGGATGGTTCAAGTGCAATACCGATGGGGCCTTTTACATGGGGACAAATCAGTGAGCAACGGGGGCTGTGTTACGGACCCCTTCAGGCTCATTTGTTGCAGGAAGAGCATGCTGGTACTCCCATGGACTTGATGCCCTGATGCTAGAAACTTTGGCATGCCGTGATGGTGTGAGATTAGCAAGAGAGGAAGGGGTGTTGAAGCTGCAGTTGGAAACAGAAAACCAGGAGCTTGTCAGACTATGGGCTTCAGGGCAATTTCAGAGATCGTACCTGGCGCCGATTCTGCGAGAGATCCGTGATATTAGTGCAAGCTTTCATGATTTTTCATTGATGTATGCTAATAGAGTCTGTAATCAAGTAGCGCATGTATTAGCAAAGCAAGTCACGGATGTGGTCAGGTTGGGTGTGTGGCATGAAGCCCCAACCTGTATCCAACATCTACTGACTGAAGGATGTAACCCCGTTCCTCCATGATGAATGAACGAATCTCCTAGTCGCAAAAAAAAAAAAAAAAAAAAAAAAAGGCGCAAGAGGGTGCTTCGGGGATAAAAAAAAAGGAAAAAAGAAATTTTCGCTATTTAATATTATTATTAGGTATATAGATGTATAGATTCCATTCTACATTTCTACCTTCCGTGTATGTGTTTATTGCACGGGCGATGGTTATCACTGTACAACGACTTTCATCGAGTGGTAAAATATGGTTTAAAACCAGCAGTGTTGAAGTTTGTGTGACTGTGTATAGTATATTACACTAAGAAAACAACTATATGTAAAAAAAGGTTTCATTGTTGTTTATTTAATCATTTGGTTAGGAATTAGGATCTTGTGTTCTAGTATTATTCTGTCCGAGGCTAAATTAGAATCTTGTGTTCATAGAGGCCCCGGCGATCTGATGATGAGGCTGAGAGAAATCAGATTGCACAAAATCAGCTTTAAGTTGGAACGGTTACCATCTTGAAGGATAATTTCGATCCTGAAGTCACACTAAAGCAAAACTCTATAAACTCCAATGCTTCAGATTTCTGGATCTCAGCTACTGAATTGCTTGCAGGCAAGAAGAAGAAGTTCCCAGCTCAGTGGGCGCCTTTCTTCACTTCTCTGCTTCTCTCGCCTAGCAACTACAGTTGGGCAAAAAAATTCATCGAGTCAGATGCTCGGGATATCTTCAGTAAGAACTTAACCTCTGTAAGCATCAGAGTCCTAGATCAGTGCCCTCTTCAGAACCTAATTTGTCCTCATGAACAGAGCATCTCTGCCTTGAGCTTGCCTAATCCTGATCACTCTGAAACTCTGGTGAGGGAAAAAAATAGCATGAGAAAGGCAAAGAAAACTAGAATTGCAGTGGTTGAAAGTGAAGTCAGGAGAAGCCCAAGATTGAAGGAGAATAACAAGGGCTTCAAATCTAACACCTGAACTGGCAAGAAGTGCTTAGCCTGCAGTCCCAGCCCCCCTGATCTATCCCTTGATATGATCAAAAGTTTTGGTTCCTCCTACTGTCAGATAGAAGGGGGTTCTCAATTTGCAAACTCAGAATGAGGCTCGTTTACTCAAGTACCTCCATAAATTCTTCAACAGGAATGATCTGCCTTGGGTGAATCTGATATGGGACAATCATTACAGAAATGGCAGGTTACCAAGTACCACAACACCAAAGGGTTCCTTTTGGTGGCGTGACCTCCTAAAGCTACTGGATAAATTCAAGGGGATGGCGTCAGTGATCATATCAGATGGTACATCTTGCTAGCTCTGGGACGATCTTTGGAATGGTCAAGTAAGAAAATTTCAGTTTCCTGAACTTTACTC